ATTAGGTTCATTAGTTATATTATGGCAACTTTTCTTGACAGGTTGACTGTACTGTGGTAAAGTAGTATAGTTACAAAGCTGTCTATGCATTTATTTTTTTATTTTATTTATTTATTTTTTTAGACATCCTAGGATGGAAGGCACTATAGTTATTGTTACAAAGGGAACTTTAGGATGAGATTGATCTAAACTCATCCCTGGTGTAAAGCCAGTGGAATTGGCACCAGGGATTAATTTGGCCCATAATATTGAAACCGAATAGTCTCAGACAAACAATTGGAGTACAAGGATGTTGTACAGGGACTGAGTCAGTATTGTATGGAAATGATCAATAAACACATAGTTGGCAAATCCCTACACTCAGATTTGTGACTGGTCAGACCTCTCCATCCAAATCACCATAACTATGGCCACTTCAATTTTCTATTTATTCCGGCATTAAAAGGATACTGTCAGGTTTTTTAAAATTACCTGTTTTTAAAATCAAACAACCCAGTCCTCCCTCTCATCAGAATTCCCTTGTATATGCGATTTAAAATCACTTTCTGTCACAGTAATTAGCCCGTATCCTTGAGTGGAGTATTTTCCTTTTTTAATTCAGTCAAAACAAACTTTTCACCAGAAAAATAACATTATGATCAAAACAACATATTACTATTGAGCTTACTTTAATTTTCAAAGGATCTCCATATTGAATTTTCCCATAGAATAGGAGTGAATAAAAGGACACAAAACAGAGTGTGCTTTGGCCTTCCATCCAAAGGACCAGTGGATATGTGAGGATATGTCTACACTGCACAGCAGCCTGCATCAGCAAGTCTCCGAGTCTATAGATTTGGGTTTGAGGGGCTCATGCTATAACACTAAGAACAGCTATGTAGACCTTGCAACTAGGGCTGAAGTTCAGGTTCTGAAGCCCATCTTCCACCCTAGGCTTCAGATTCCAAGCTCCAGCCCAAGCCTGAACATCTACACAACTATTTTTAGCACTGTAGCACAAGCTCCTCCAGCCTGAGTCTGTGGGCCCGGGTTGTGAGACTCACTGTTGGGGGCTGCCACTTGCTTCCTAGTGACTCACTGTTGGCCTTGGGCAAGTCACTTAGCTCTTGGTGCTTCAGTTCACCCATCTGTAAAATGGGGATAATAATACTTTTTTGTAATGTGGTTTCAGATATATAAAAACGCTATATTGTGTAAGTGCTAGTCATTATTATTCCATCAGACTTTTAAGTGCAGAGAAGTTTCTTTTCATGAAACAATACTGCATTTTAAATAAACCCCCATTATGAGAAAATAACTTGTTTCTGGTTTCATTACAGCCAGTGTCCTATCCCGACAGCAACCCCTACCCACCTGTGGTAAGAATCCTTTCTCCACAACTCTTAGAGTTATGAATCTAAGTGCTTCTGAATAGCCACATGCTTAGCTCTCAGATAGTTACACCAGTCTGGTTGTTGGGCGGAAGCTTTTGTTGAGCGGAATTATATTACTGATGCAATTGTGCATAGAGAAAGAGGCTGACTAAACAACTAAAAGTTCCATCCAGATCTAAGAGATCACTGCAATGATTTGATGTTATACAGAAATGAAATTGTCTCAGTCAGGTTACAGGAATGTTGTTATTGACTCACAAGTATGTGATTACATTGTGTAATTGTATAGTGGTCTGATTCACTGCTGATCCCAGAACTCACTGTCCATTATATCTATCTCAAACAAGGCCACTTCATCTTCCTGTTTCTATTGCAACTTTCTTCTGTAAACTTACTTCAGTCTTTAGTTTCCAGCTGTTGTAGTTCTACTGTACCCATTCATTTTGAAATCTTTCTTTCAGACTAAAATAATTTCTGCCTAAAAATGAATGAAATATTTAGGGCTTGTTTCAGAACGAAATGTGGCAAAAACCCCGTTTTTTCCATTTGCCTCCAATAACCTTCCTTAGTACTAAATCCTTCAGATTCCTCTATTCTTGGTGTAGTCAGCTGACTGAAAAGCTGCACATATCTCACAAATGATGGGTGTTAAATGTATGGACACCTTACCGTGCATCAGAATTACACACACACACACACACACACACACACACACACACACACACACACACACACACACACACACAGGAGTATTCTAAGGTACAAAGAGACTCCAACAGACTTCCGGGCTTTGGAACAGACTGTGTGTACTCTATAGGAAGACATAGACTACTATCATTTTAGTTGCCATTCAAATGAACAGAACTCTTTCACTAGGGGACAAAAAGTGTCATAATTTCTAGTGTGTACTCAAAACCGAATGGAGAAGTATACACACTACTTTAATTTTCAGACTCATCATACATGGTAAACCTTTCCGTAGTGTAGATGGTGCAAAATGAAGAGAGACAAAATAGGCTGTGCACTTGCCTTTGGTCTTTCACTTCCCCCAGGCAATAGGGTTCTTTTTCTGAAGCAGTATTCTATCTTAAACAAACCCTTACACAAAATAATCAGGTTTCTGGTTTCTTTTACAGCGTGAAACTTTCCCATCGGTAAGCATATATTTTTTTCTTCTTCTGTATTTATAATGTCATGCTATTATGAGTGCAAATCCTATGCCTGGTTTCTCCCATATGGAAGGATGTCCATGATCCCTGCAGAACCAGTGGGATCGATCTGTATGGAAGTGGCATAGGATTTTGGGTGGATTGCTGTTAGGAGGTGGAATGGAGCTTCACCTGAAAATTTTCATTACACTAGATAAATTGATCAAAGGACAGATACTATGCATCCATATAAGGCACAGGCAGAGAGGGTGAGGGAGCATAAAGGTTTGTCCCCAACCTATCATGGCCCACATAAAGGCGAGGCAGAGTTCCAGTTTGTTCAAGGGCAGCTCTATCCCTATTCACGTTGCAACAAGGCTCCAACCCCGTCTCAAGCACCAACAAGCTGAGCACTGTGGCCCTGTCAGCCACAAAGGGCTGTAGTAGCAGGCACTCTAAGGCTATGTCTACACTGTGAGCTAGGGTGTGATTCCCAGCTCATGTAGACATACTTGTGCTAGCTCTCATCATGTGGCAACACAGGCTAGCTGTGCCAAGTACAACCCCACCTGAAGCCTGTGAGGTACATACTCAGTATGACTAGCTTGTGCCACTGCCTGTGCTACCATGGCTATGCTTCTATTTTTAGCACACTAGCTCAATGAGAGCTAGTGTGAGAGTGTCTACATGAGCTGGGGATCACGCCCCCTGCTCTGAGTGTAGACATACCCTAAGTTAAGCTAGGTACCTGCCAGCCTGCTTCCTGAGCATATATGCAGAGCATAGATCAGCCACATCTGAATATCTAGCCCAGAATTATATCCAGTTTATTTTTAGTTTCAAAGAATCTCCATAGTAAACCTTTCCATAAGTATTGTGTGGTGGAAATGAGGAGACAAAATCAAGTTTCACCTGCTGCTTTACTCCCTTAAGCAGGGAAGTACAAATCATTCTTTTCCTGAAAGTGTATTTCATTTAAACATGCCCAATTCAATAGCCCCTGGTTTCTTTACAGATCTTGGCCAATTCTGGACATGGCGTCAGCAGCATTATCTATTCACAAGTAAGCACGCTTTCCTGATTGTGTTTACAGTTTAATCCCAACATGTTTCTAAGTGAACTGAATGCTTATTCAGCTCCAGTGGATTAGTTGAATGGGAGCCTTAATTGAAAATGGACAAACTATGGACGGAGAGCTAGGGGATGTCTAAGAGTATCTGACAGTGGTCTCAGCAAGTCAAGGATGCTATAAACTAGTGACTCAAGACTATGCCATTATTTTTAGTAACAATACAATCATGATTCTTTAGTACTCTCAATATCTACGTGACCTTAAGCATCTAGGCCTGCACATCTTCCAAGGCCAGATCACAAGGTGATGTAAACTGGCAAAGCTCCACTGGAGTCTATGAAGATGGATTGATTTGTACCAGCTGAGGATTCTGGCCCTCTGTTTTATTCAGTATTAAAAAGATTTTGCAGGTTACAAGTCAAAATTGTAACCAGAGAGTTTACAAGCTCTTTTACATGGTAATAAGTAGTTTGATTTCTCTACAGACTTCTTCCTCATATGAGATGAAAGTCCATACTCAAATGAGCATTTTCCCTTCTGTACTTATAGTTTTGTGTCAGCATGTCTCTTTGTAACTGAACAATTATTTAATTAGCAATTAGATTATGTCCATTACTTTTATTGAAGGGTTACATCATACTTTTATATCCTACAAGGAGATAAATGGCTTCTGGATTATACATAGTCTTACCCACGAGGCAAACAGTCACTTGCCCTCCACTCTTCTTCCCTATTATAATCAGTAAGGCCATGGCCAGATTGTCAGTTTCACTGAAGTAGCTACACCAGTTTACACAAGCTGAGAATGTGGCCCAGTGTGTTTATGACTGTCATGGCAAAAAACAGTTACTTTAAGGATATTTTAATACATTTGCCAGCCCAGTATGAAGAGAGATCCCTCCATGATTTTTTTTTTATTTATTTTATTTTTTTGGTCTAATTTGGCTCTATAAATGGTCACTAGTGTGGATTATTTGGTTTCTGAAATGGTTTTAAACAATATTATGTTGTAAAATGAAGAAGATTTTGTCTCATAATTGCACATGATTTTTATTTTAAAGTCGTATACCATGGTTTTTCCTTTTTTTAACCAAAAAAAAAAATCTATCGTTTAAAGGTTTGCATTTTGCATTTGGCCATGGCAAATCTGTATTAAGACAAATCTGTGTTTGATGAACAGGATTATTTGGACCCCTTGGAAATACTATAAAATCGAACAGAACTTATTCTATAAAATGACATTTTCTCTGAAAATGTAACAACTGGCACTAGATAGAGTGGTGGAATAACAGGAGGGAAAACTGAACCTCGTCTAGTTTTTCATACTACAAGTATAGTATGGTTTCTTTTCTTGAAACAATACACTATATGAACAGTTCCTCATCAAAAAGAAATTGGCTTCTGGGCTCTTTATAGAGTGGTCACTGTTTCTCGGGCAGCAGGAATATTTATGTAAGCAACACATTAAGAACTTTGCCATTGACTTGAGCAGGAACAGTAGAATTTTGAAACTGCTTCCCCAATATTTTATCCATTGTTTAATTCTATTTTAGGTTTCCCAGAACTTTTTAGATTTATTTATGTTTTTGTTTTGTTTTTTCTGAAAAATCATCTTTGTTCCCTAATAGATGCATGTAAAATGTCAGGGCCCCAAAACATCCTTTATCCATATTTTTGTGTGTGATAAGTAAAGGCAAATCAGTATATTTCACTCAGTAGAGGACATAGTCCACTTTCTCTTTGGAAAAATTACATAAATAACCAGAATTATCTTGCTGAAAGACTATGTTTTCTCTTACTTAGAAAGAACCCCCACATGAAAACATCCCGTAGATGTTCTTTGTGCAAACAGTATACTCTTTTAACAAACCCCGTTTTCAGGTGATAACTGGTTTCTGATTTCTTTTAAAGAGATCACAAAAAAGCCAGTCCTATGGCCGAGTAAGCCTCTCCCACCGCAGTTTTACTTCAATGTGCTGCTTTTTAACTAAACATGTGCTTACCATTTGATTATGGCTAATTGTTATGGTTGTTGGAGCCTTGCTTAAAGAATTAAATAAATGTGATTAAAAATTGAGAGAGGTGAGTGAGACTCTGGGAAAGCTCATCTAGCTAGCCAGTTTGGGATTCCCATGTCAAGTAGAGCCAATATGGCCAGCACATCACCTTCTAGTATATGTAGAACGATGTAGTACATTACTTTGCCCCCCACCCCCCCACTCCTAAGCCCAACGTAGTAGGTGTTGCAGGAAGAAGGAACATGGCCAAAACACTGCTGTGCTCTATCAATTGCCAACTATGGAACAGTCCCTTGCGGAGATTTAGGTGTTGTCTACACTAGATCTGACACTACCTCCAGTGTGTTAGAATAGACAGGACTCACCCATTTTTACCACAGTTTACTGATGTGGTGATAAAACCACTTGTGCCTGTTCTACAGTAGTGCATCATCTGGTACTAGCAGGAGGGTAGCACATCCCACTGGGAGTAACGCATGAAAATTTCTAGTGTGGACATGGCTACAGTGGAGTCTTCTCCTTCCTCTAGTCTTTCCCTCCCACATATAGGCAAATAAAAATAGGTGTCTTTTGAGCAAGCAGTAAAATATTCAACATACAAACCCATTTACAAGGAAATAAATGGTTTCTTCACAAGGTTGTCTTCATCACAGAGCGGCAATATCTTTGGTCAGGTAACCACCTTACAAACAAACAGATCCTATTTGACTAAAAATATTACATTTCTCAACATGAAAATTGTCTTTGTATTCAATTTATTTAATATTTGGAGGAATCCCACCCATACTAAACCAATCCATAGTGCAGGGTGGATGAACAAAGGGAAGCAAACATGGAACCTCCTGTGGTCCTTCACTCCACCAAACAATTTATACGTTTCTTTTCTTGAAACAGTGTTGTATTTAAACAATCTATTTTACAAGGAAATGACTAGGTTTCTGGTTTCTTTACAGGGTGGACAGAGAGTCAATCCTTGTGATAAAGTGAGTATTCTCCCTTCCCTACTTCCTCCCACTGTATTTGTGTTTTTACCTAACTTGCCTCTTAGTCCAACTCGCAACAAAACATTTATTTACTACTTCCATTAATTGTTGTGTGGCAGCTTTTGTTGACAGGTAGCATTACTATGGCTAAAGTAATAGAGAAATCTAGAGGATGATGGTGGCTACTTAAATGATAAGTTCTTCCTTTTTTATGAGGTAATAACAATATCCTGGGTTAAGTGAACTCTGAGGCTGAAAATCAAGGTGTATAGAAGGAAAACAACTCCTTGGCCAGAGGTGGAGTTTACTAGCCAGTATATGATTTATTACCAAGTTGAAAGATTGTTCGATTATTATTATTTATTTATTACACTGACATTTTTAATTTGTTTTTTAAAGTTTCAATTAAATAGAAGAAAAAATACAAATTAAACCGGGCTGTAAAACTGCTGAGACACAAATTGTTTAAAAATTAATTTCCTACTCCATGTTCATATTTATTTATACTTTCCTTACCCAGGTCAGTAAGGCATTTCTCCACAGTATAACTCTAATATGTGTGTTTGCATTGCATTGCAAGACTGAATTGGGGTGCTTGAAAGACCGGAATTTCCTCACTGTTTTAAAAAAAAAATGGAGACAGGAGTAGTTGGCCCATTAGGGAGAAGATTGTTATCCAAACGTTGGATACATCCTCTGAGGAGTGACTTCAGGGCAGGAAACTTTCTATGTGGAAATCATATGTACCAAGGGGGAAATTTTCAAAGTAACATGGAATAGTTAGACTCCCATCTCTTATTGAAAGTCAGTGGTCACCTTACTCTTAAAAAAATCTGCCCCAAAGTCCTCTAGGCACACAGGTTTCAAATTTTTATCTGAAGTAAGGCACCTACAGAAAAGTGGCCTGATTTTTCCAGAGGTGCTGAGCACCCACCTCTCCTGTAGACATGAGTGGTAGCTAGAGATGCTCATCACCTCTGAAAGTCATCAGTTTTATTTAGATGCCTATAATATGGATTTGGAGGCCTATCATTAGAGCCAGATTTGAAAATATTGACCTTAGTACTTAGGTGCCACACTGCAGTTTATACAGGACATTTTGCAGAGCTAGACCACCATAGGGAGATTTTGGGAATTGTGCTGAAATTGTGCCTCCTAGAGCCCCCACGGCTACAATCTACCCAGAGTGGGTCTGGAGAGAGGAGTGCAAGTTGGGACCATACCTTCTTTCCCCGCTCTAAACACCAGGCAGTGTCAAAGCACTCTGGTTGTGACACATTCCCCCTGGCAATTTCTTCTAGATTGGTATGGCCTGACAGTGCCCTTCATATAGACCAATGTATAATTCACTAATTTGGCCCATAATTATCTGGGGTATTTTTGGTTTTGGTGTCCGGTGGTGATAAGTAGGAGCAAAATAAGGACTAGGCAACTCTCTGCAGGCTCTCCCCTAACTGTGTAGATAAATGCAAATCATTTTCTTTTCCTGAAATGTGGTTGTATTCAAACAACCCTGCATACACAGAAGTAACTGTTGTTGGGTTTCTTTACAGAGTTCATCCTCCTACAACATCATTATCTGTAAACTGGTAAGCACAATCTTACCACTGTGTTTAAAGATTTGTCCTTATGTGCCTCTCACAGTAACCAGAGATGTAGGGCTAGATTCTGGATGGTCCTTACACAGGCATGCAGTGGGGTGGGGGGGAAGAGAGAGAGAGAGTTTTGAAGGATTACCGCAAAAAGAATGACCAGAATTGCTGCCCCTTCACAAAGGGGAGCACTGTACCCTGAAGGGGCAGATAGGAAGGAGCATAAGTTAACCATGGCTCTGACCTCCCCATGGTGGGACATGTGTATGATGTACCCCTTTGTAGGGGTGTAGCAGTTTGCACCTCACCCACTGCACTGGAGAAGTGTGGGAAGCTTTATGAGACAGAATGTGTCTTCACGGCTCACTATCAATGGTGAAAAGTAAAATAGGAGCTTATCCAACACTTTAACTCAAGCAAAACTCTCATCAGGTTAATATTCTGGCAAAACACTTCAGATTCCTTTGTAGTTAAATAACCTGTGTATACACATTTTTCTGACTTTCCTAGGAGATGCTATTAGCTCAGATTGACACCTAAAGAATGATCATTGAATATACACACACCTGGACACATCAATGTTCATTAAAATTTGCCTCTTCTATGCCTCTGTATAGATTCAAGGCCACTCAGTATATTTTCTCTGGAAGAGATTTGATTACCATTCAGTAAATGGTGCTCTTTCACCAGCTATGACACTTTCGTAGAAGTATACTCTCAACTTTCCATACTGTAGCCTAATGAAATAGAGACAAAGCTTGTACCCTTCTCTGTATATTCCTTCTGCCATCCAGATAAATACAGATGGAAACAGTATGGCATTTAATCAAGCCTTTTCACAACAAAATTACTGATTTATGGTTTCTTTACAGAAACAATCTTCTACCTCACAGAACAGCAATACCCAAGTCCACGTATGTACTTTTATATCCATTCTATGGGGTTTTTTGTGTGTGTTTTTTTGTTTTGCTTTTAAGCACGGCAAGCTTCTAAGCAGCCAAAATCTTAAAACACCAATTTGGTATATTGGTGCCATTGGTGGTGAGAGCTGTAATGGAAAAAAACATTATTTTTTTTTATATAACTACAGTAATCAAATTTACTTCTGTGAATATTCTAGCAAAGCATGCACGTTTGTGGTGAGCCAATACAAATGGTCCAAAGTCAAATAAAGAGCCATTGAGTTGACTGCAATTATTTGTGTTGCTCTTAAACAAGAGCAGAAGGATGCTGTGTAATTACTGACAATCAACTCTACATCCAAGTACTCCAACTCTATATCAGTTAACAGATGTATCCATGCAGTGGATAAATCCCTTTCTGGTGATTTTGTTTCTCTCAGAACGCAATATATACAGATCAATAACAGCTAGAACCTCCACGGTTTCTTGTTTCTGTCTAACATTAATCTTAACTTAGATATGTATACAAATTGCTGAGGTTCATACAATTAATTTAAAAACCAAGGAACCATTTTTGACATCTCTGCTTATTCAGACTGTCCTCTTTTTACTCCTGTCCTAACTTTATGTTTATTATTGAATAATTCTGGAACAGTTTCCACTTCCTCTGTTTCTTTTTCTTTCATCTTTTTGGCCTCTCCCAGTTTTTCCCAAATTAATTTCAGACCAGCACATTTTAAAAAGGAAACACACTTATTTGCATTAGGGTCACTATTGCTTAGGGAAGCTGTCATATAGTTTCCAACCCTTTTGCAATTCTAGTCATGTCCTCTGTGTTATTCAAATGCTAAGAATCATGCATAGTTAGATTCTGTCTTAAATGTTGTACGGACGCGATCATGTGTTTTATCCTTTCACAAAAAAATTACTGGCTTCTTTGTGAGGAGGACTGATTTCTCTAAAGCCAGGTAAACCATATTTATTTTTCTCTCAGTTTTTTCCCTGAATGTTGCTTGCAGTAGTTGAGCACTCATAAGAAAACGTACTAGCTCAGACCAGCATCTAAAGGATGGTCATTCCATTGATGGGATCATGGATATCTCATACCTCATTAAAGGCTCAGGTGCACTTAACTACACAGACTCCATATATTCACATGAATACAATTTATGAATAAAATTTAAATGAACAGCACTCTTCCATCTGAAAATCAAAACGGTCTCTGCGTGCTCAAAGCACAACATAACATCACTTTAACTTCTGCAGGTCCCATATTAAATCAGTAGAGTGGAGTCAAAGGTCACTAATACAGTGTTTTCCACCTGTTCCTTTCCTTTCACAAGTAGGAAAATACCAATAGACATCCCTCGGACAAATAGTACAGTATTTAAATATGCTTTTTTTTTTTTTTTTTAAACAATGAAATAAATGGCTTCTGCTTCCTTTGCAGGGTCAGTCCACTTTCTCACCAGGCAGCCAAGTAAGCAATCTATTCTCCTCACTCTTAGTTATCTTCTGAGTAATCAATCGCTTCCCCTACTGTTTGGATTATGTCCTTTAGTTTTGGTATAATTTGTTGTTGCAGGGTTAAATTACTGTAGGTTAATATAGAGAGAGGGCTGATGGCAGGGGATACAGAATGCAGAAATCTGTTTGCAACTGGTCCAAATTAGAACCATCACAAGATAGGCAAATCACTGCACTCTTCTTCACTAGTGCCCTGAAATTATGTCAGAATCTATGGGCCAAATTCTCTACTGGAGTAAATTGGCACCACTCTATTGAAGTAAATGGTGCTATGACAATTTATATCACCAAAGAATTTGGCCTTATTTGTCTCTGTCAAACATGACTTCCTTGGCTTCTTGTTTCTTCCTGTTGAATGGCATTTAAAGATCTAGTAATGCATTTTCACCAGAAGAGCAGTGATAGCTGGTGAGCTTTGGGGCAAGTGGTGCAGAGCAGGGGGGGAAAAAAAAAAGTCTGGTCCCGTGAATAACCTACCTGGCCCCTGGAGTCTGCACAAGGGCATGTGAAGCTGGTCCCTGAAGTGTATATGTGGACTGGAGAGGAGTTAACTGTAGAGCGCTCTAAAACTGTTGCAAGCTAACTTCTCCATGTTGGCCCTGCTGGCGCACTCTAGATCAGTGGTTCTCAACCTATTTACCAGTGTGGGCCGCTTTGCAGCTCTCTGTGTGTTGTGGGCTGCATCCACATACCATATATGTATGTATATAGCGTGTGTGTGTGATGTATATATATATATATATCTATATATCGCCCAGAGGATGTCACCTGGGCCGCAGCTGTGTGCTGATTGGGCCACAAGCGGCCCAAGGACCATGGGTTGAGAACCACTGCTCTAAAGGGTATCTAGAGCACGTTAACATAGTCCTGATTGAAAGAAGACTACATCAATGAGAACTAGGCATGTTTTAGTCCCCCAGCAGGGTTTAACATGGGTCAGTAAGATATGAACAGTTTAGTGACACTCTATAGTCACTGCAGCTTGTGGCTTGGGAAGTGAATCCAGTACCCTAAACCCTACTGAAAATCAGTGTTGGCTTCACCTTTGGTTAGACCTTAACTACACACATGCCAGAGGAGTGGTGGTGGAGAACACCTTGCTACTAAATATGAATTACAAACACTGCAAATCTGTAGCAGGCTGCTATAGATTTGCTGTGTTTGCGATTCGTATTTAGTCACATCCGTGTGCTCTCTCTCGTTTTCTCTCTCTCTCTCTCATACATTATGTGTGGACTTGCATACTTCGAAGAGTAATATCTGTTTTCAGTGTATTCACGACCAAGGGCCAAGGGTAGAATTTTCAGTCATCTGAGTGACTTAGGACCCTGACTCACATTTTCAAGAATTATTTAGACACTTAAGAGCCCAAATCCCATTGACTTTCAATGAAATTTAAGCTCTTAAAGTAAACGGAGTCTCTTTTGAAAATGGGAGTTAGTTTCCTAAGTCACTCAAGTGCTTCTGAAAATTTTATCCCAGGTCCAAACCCCATTGCAGTCAATGAGACTTTCCATTGACTTCAGTGGACATTGGCTCAGGCCCTAAATGTATAAGTACCTTCTTCACTTTCATTTTGAAAGGTAAATCTTTCCATAGTGTAGGATGGCAAGATAAAGGGAGGTAAGTTGGAGAACTTACTATCCTCTGGTGCTTCTCTCCTTCAGACAGAACCCTGTATATTTATCTGTTTGAAACATCATTTCTACAATGAAAATAAACTGTTGGGATTTTTTTTCCCAGCAGGATGGATCGGCTTCCTCCGGTGTCAGTACGGGTTGTGGAGAGGTAAGTCCCTTTCCTCCTCTATATGTGAAGATTTGTCTCAATTTGCTACTTAGTATTAAAACATTTTTTATAAATTGGATTGTGCCCATTAACTGAAGTAGGAGCTTTTTGTTTCCATTGTTGTGCCTGAAATTATACAGTGCAGAGAACCAGAGAGACTGACCTTGGCTACTGTACTGAACAGGAATGGCCTCAGTTAGACACTAGTATATAAATAATAGATACAGTTAATGACCCATCCATTTTGAGAATAATCATTAACCATATAGTTCATAAGTACCTGAATTCGGATTCTCTACTCCTCCTAAATCTCAAACAAGCACAGCCATGTGTGAATATTTCTCAACTAAATGTTGCTTCATTTAACACAACTACAATCGGAGATACTCTCTCAGGCGGACTCCTCAAGAATGAGAGTTGACTTAGTAGTTTCCTGGTCAAAGACAACCCTTCACTGGAATTTCATTTCCCCATGTGCACACTTGAAATGAGCTCAGGTTCAGTAACTCTGTATTGAATAGTGAGAACCTGGCTATGTGAGGAGAAAAAGGGAGTCAAATATGAGGTCAAAGTAGTGATAGCAAAACTAGGTAAAAGAATATAGTGGAGTTAATAATGAAAAAGACAGACTGAGACTAGAAGCTTCAGGAGGAAAGATAAGTTGTTTGCAAGGAAATGAATGATTTGGGTGTCTTTTTACACAGGGTACTTCATACGACAGCAATCCCTGCCACCAGGTGAGTAACCTTTCTCCATTGTTTTTAAGGTTTGCCTTAAACTGGTTCTTAGTAATGGAATGTGTTGTCATAAATCTAATTTCTTGTTCTCAAACAGTGGAACAATGCTGCAAACAATTTCTCTGAAAAGTATGTACAAACCTCATTAGACTTCGTTTAAAAAAAAAAAAAAGCGCACACACCCCTACATAACTTTAGAGAATTTGACTTGTCACTAAAGTGCCTAAATGATTTAGGGCAAAATTTGAAGAACACCTAACTTACTTGGCAGTTTCTTTTTTTTAATTTAATTAAATTG